CGGAGCACAGGCCTGGCTGCACTGAAGTGGCAGGCCTGGCCGGGGGAGGGGGTCGGGCGCCCCCTCCCCGCTCTGCAGGGCGGCAGCAGGCGCCGGCCGCGCCCACATGCAGGACCCGCCCTGGCCGGGGGAGGGGGGCTGCGCAGGCCGCTCGCCGCCGTCTGGCCCCCACGCCGACCCCAAGTAACAGCCTGGGCGCCTGGAGCCCTGGTTCCTCGTCCACGATGGCAGAACAGGGCGGCACCAGACCTGCCACAGCGCTGCCGAGACGCGGCGCCACGCTGGCCCGGGGGCATCTCCGCAGCGGTGGCTTCGCGGGCCGGTAATGGGGAGCCCAGGTCCACGAGCAGCTGGCAGGATTGAGCTCGCGCCCAGCGGCTGCAACGGCGGCTGCGCTCCTACTGCTGAGACTTAGTCCCTGTGGCTCCCAGGGAGGCCCCAGTGGAGGCTTTTCTAGAAAGTGCTGGGACTGAGGGACAAGCCACGTCCCAGACAGGAGGGTGAGGGCGCCCTCTTCAAAGAGTTGGGAGTGTCTGCTGTAAGAGGGAGGATGCTCTACATAAAATACTAAATATTTAAACAGCCCAGGGCCTCGCTGGTGGCGCCAGCGGTTAAGTCTCAGCTCTAACGAGCTATCTGCAGCCACTGCAGCCTAATACAGCCCCTGGCCAGGGAGCTGACCACATGCTGCAGACCTCTCCTGCCTTGCCCGCTGCTCCCCTCAGCAGTGCCTTTCAGCGGATCTGCTTGTTCTGCTCTGCACTGTGTCTCTGGGGAATCCTCTCACCCCCACACCTCTGGCCCCCAGCTCTTGTGTGCAAAAATAAATTTAAAAAACCACACCTCTGGCCCCCAGCTCTTGTGTGCAAAAATAAATTAAAAAATTGAGCCAGCCCCAATATAATGAAGACGTTTCCTGCAGTCAAAAGAAGACAGAGCCAGCTGGGGAGTCCCATCCCTGCAGATATCCAAGCGACATCTAGGTGTAGATACGATCCAAGCATTGTCACGCTGGAATAGACGCCCCTCGAGGTCACTTCTAGCCCTGAAACACCACGGGTAATTATTTCTGACCCTGAGGAGGAGCAAAGCTCCCACAGGGGTGGGACTGGAGCTGGCGATAAGGATGCCTGGGGCTTAACGGAACTTAGAAACGCCCGGCAGGGGGCGCACGCAGCAGCGCCAAGCCAGGGGAGCCGGGGCTAGACGGCCGCCCTGGGCCGCGCACGCGCCCAAGGGGCCCTCCCGGGTGGCGCAGCACGGAGAAGCTAAAGCCACGGCAGCAGGAGTTCGATCCCCGCGCTGGAGGTGACCCACAGGGCGCGGCAGACCTCTCCTGACCCCCCGCTGCTCCCCTCAGCAGTGTAATGGGTCAGTTGGCCTGTTCTGCTCCCCACTCGTCTCTGGCGAATCGGCTCACGGCCCCCACACCTCTGTCCTGTACCCCAGTTCTGTCTGCATAAAGAAGTAAATCTTAAAAAAAAAAAAAAGCAGAAGTGGCCAGTCCTTGCCCCTCCCCCCACTTCCAGGGCAGATGTGGGGACCCAACTGTGTGAAAAGCGCTTCTGTGGACCCCCAAAGCATGAGCGCGGGCAGCCTTATCGCAGGCTGGTGCTCTACACCCGGGGGCTCGGACCCGAGTCCGCCCGGGGAGCTCGGTCCATGCAGGGAAAGGGACGGGGCCCAGGACATGGCAAGCCTCACCCCACTCGGGAGAAAGACCCGGGTGCGGGGCTGGGGTCCTGCGCAAGGGCCCCAGGTCCTGGACACAGTCCCAGCTCCAGCGGGAAACGTGCGGGGCTGCGGTCCCGACACCTAGATCCCAGCTGCAGGCGGCCGTCCCTGGCCCTGGCGCCGGCCCAGACGGGCCACCTCCCCCGCTGAGGCCGCCGCCCCTCGTCAGCCGAGGCTGGAGCCGCCTCGGGGAGGACGCGCTGCGCGGCCACGTCCCAGACGGGCGGGCGGGCGGGCGGCGCGTCAGCGAGTCTCTTGCCGGTGCCCTAGGTCCCCGCCGGCGGCATGGCTGAGGAAAACCAGACTGAATTCCTGCTGCTGGGCTTCTCTGACCTCGGGGCGCTGCGGGGCCCCCTGTTCTGGGTGGTGCTCCTGCTCTACCTGGTCACCTTGCTGGGCAACGCGGTCATCGTCCTGCTCACCCAGGCCAGCCCGGCCCTGCGCACGCCCATGTACTTCTTCCTGCGCCACCTGTCGCTGGTGGAACTGCTCTACACGGCGGACATCGTGCCGCGCGCCCTGGCGGACCTGGCCGCGCCGCAGCCCCGGGCCATCTCCTTCCAGGGCTGCGCCGCCCAGATGTACATCTTCGTGGTGCTGGGCATCGCCGAGTGCTGCCTGCTCACCGCCATGGCCTACGACCGCTACGCCGCCATCTGCCGGCCGCTGCGCTACTCGGCGCTCATGAGCCGCAGGGCCTGCGCGGCCATGGTGGGCACCTCCTGGCTCATGGGCGTCGCCACGGCCACCACGCACTCCTCCCTCATCTTCACGCTGCCCTTCCCGCGCCGGCCCGTCGTCCCGCACTTCCTCTGCGACATCCTGCCGGTGCTGCGACAGGCGAGCGCAGGCCGGCGCCGGAGCGAGGTCTCCGTGATGACCGCCACGGTGGTCTTCATCATGATCCCCTTCTCGCTGATCGTCACCTCCTACGCGCGCATCCTGGGCGCCATCCTGGCCATGGCCTCCACCCAGAGCCGCCGCAAGGTCTTCTCCACCTGCTCGTCCCACCTGCTCGTGGTGTCGCTGTTCTTCGGCACGGCCAGCATCACCTACATCCGGCCCCGGGCGGGCTCGGTGCTCACCGACCGCGTCCTCAGCCTCTTCTACACCGTCGTCACGCCCATGCTCAACCCCATCATCTACACGCTCCGGAATAAGGAGGTGGCAGCGGCCCTGCGCAGCGTGCTGAAGAAGCAGGTGTCTGCGCCCTGAGCGGCCGCCCGCGCCCCCTCCCTGCCCCGCTCCCCGACTGCCCGGGGTGAGCTCGCCTCGCCCAGCGGACACCGTGTCCCAGCTGAAAGAAATGAGGCTTCCGGCAGACAGCGCGCAGGTGAAGGCTGTCGTAGCGCTTCTGCGCATCCCAGGGCACCTGTACCCGGAGCGTCGTTAGGGCAGGTAGAGAGGACGGCGGCCCTGGCGCTGCGGAGGAAGCCCGGTGTCTTCTCCACTGTCCACGTTCCCCAGCAAGCGATGGTAGACTCTAGACCTGTAGTGGGGACGCCCTCAGTGCTGAAGGCAGCTGCCTGCCAGCCTCACTGGCCCAGGGGCGTGGCAGCGTTTGCCTGGGGCTTTGGTCTGGTTTTTGCCCAGAAGCACACGGCAGTCTTGTCCGCGCGCTGGAGCCTTGGAGTTATTCCACGTGGATGCTTTCTCACTTTTCCCCAGCTCGATCTTTTGATAACCTCCGGTGTCGCAAATACTACGTCCCACCAAGCCAGAAAGTCTTTGCCTTCCTTGTTCTCCAGCCAAGTGTGCCATAGGCCTAGTCCAGGGCCTCCTTCACAGCCCCTCTGCCCCCGGGAGCCCGGGGTGCTGCAGAGAACCAAGGAGCAGGTGGAACCACGGGGACCCCCGGTCAGTGCAGGCCTCCCTGCTGATCACCACCGGTGCGGGCTGAAACTCCTTCCTAGCCTCCGGGTCCTGCTGTTCCCGGCATAGGACGCCAGGCCTGGCGTTGGCTGAGTAGGGAGAAGGAGCAGCTGTGTCTCTCCCTGGCATCGTCCTGGCACCCACCTGGCCCCTGGTCCCTGGACACAGCCCCAGAGTTTCTCAGCTGACCAGTTCCGGTCTGCGGGTTCTACTCACCGAAGCCTCTAGCGTGGCTCTCAGGCCTCCCAACACCTGTGTTTTGTTAATAAATTAACTTTCCACTTCATCATCCGGGCAATTTCTGGATGATGTCAAGAATTTTGACTGACAGTTGGCTTGGAGGTTGGAGGCAGCCGAGCGGAACCTTAACCTGGCGGCCTGGGAAGGAAGGAGGAAGGCGTCAGAGAGCACCCAGACGCAACTCAGGTCAGAAGACATAGCACGTGGCTCAGTCAGGGCGGCCTCAGCACTCCTGGTGCTCAGAGAAGAACCCACTGGCCCTTCACCCTCAGGAAACCACGATGCAATGGGAGTGGGGTGGGGTGGGGAGAAAACAAGCCAGGGAAACACAATGAGGATGATTGTAAAATTAGACGCGTAGAGACTGTGACATTCCAGGGGGAGATTCTGGAAGACTTCCTGGAAAAAGTGGCTCAACGCATTTCTCCCACCCTCACATGAGGCACAGTGGAAAGGCTAGTTCTGATGCTACTTGGGGCAAGACAGAGGAAGGCTGGACACATCTATCTGGGCTTGGCGGGGAAAATTCCTTCTACTCTCCCTTTACCACATAAGAGAAATAATGCATAGCAACAAAATTTTTAAGTGCTGGTTTTACATAAAGATTTCCAATAAAATATTTACATTTTTGCAAGAAATTTGAGCTTTACTTTGTGAATGTAATTTTTCTGTTAGGTTGTGTGCTTGAAACTCCTGATAAAGATCTTTAAGTACTAATTTTTTTTTAATTTATTTATGTATTCACTCAAGAACTGGGTCACAGGCCAGAGGTGGGGGTGGGGGGTGGTAAGAGGACTCCCCAAAGACAGAGTGGGGAGCAGAACAGGCAGACTGACTGAAACACACTGTTAAAAGAGGGGGGGTGGACAGGAGGAGTCTGCTGCACCCTGTGGGTCACTCCCCGGCCAGGTATTGAACTTGTGCTACAGTGGCTGTGGACAGCTTCATAGTGCTGCGCTTTAACCTGTTGTGCCAGCAGGGAGGGCCTAAGTACTGATTTCTTAAAGTAATTACTGTAAGAAATCACTATCCAAGAAAACCACTCACAGGTATGGATGATTAAAAAAATGTATTATCTTTTTCCAAAGTCATTCAAAATGTTTGCAGTAGCTGAAATTACATAGAATTATATATTATGTCTAAAGCCCTTATCTTTCAGCAAACATTATTAATGTCAAAAATTCTTATAATCATAACAAGGATTTGAAATCAAATCACATGAAATGAAAATTAATAATAGCAGCTAATACTATTTAAGTACCTACTCCATTAGGGAGTGACACAATGCTATTTCTTTTGTAGGAATTGTCTTACTTTATGCCAATAAAAACTTACGTGATAGGGCCCTCCCTGGTGGCGCAGCCGGTTAAAGCACTGCACTGAGAAGCTAAAGCCACTTCCGCATGAGTTCGATTCCCGCCTGCCCCGGAGGTGACCACATGGCGTGGCAGACCTCTCCTGACCGCCCGCTGCTCCCCTCAGCAGTGTGCTTCGTGGATCTGCCTGTTCTGCTCCCCACTCTGTCTCTGGTGAAGCCTCTCTCCGCCCCTGAGCCTCTAGCCTGTACCCCGGTTCTGTATGTACAAATAAATAAATCTTTAAAAAAAAAAAAAAACTTACGTGATAGGTATAGAGATGAATCCCAAAATTGTGAAACATGAAGCTTATATAATTTGAGATGGCTGCATTTCATAAAATAAAATAAAAGTTATGAATATAAAGTTAGGAACAAAATTTTATTTCAAGTAAAAAAAATAGAAACATTTGTAAGCTGGCAAATACCACAAATGACATACAATCCAGAAAATAATACATTTTATAAGTAACTACCTGGCCGTGACTTTTTTGCCCTACATTTTTTGCTATGTACCAACCTTCGTTACCTTTATATTCATTGGACAATGATTTTGCAGCATACTTTCCACAAAGAGATTAGAAAAATGATTTGTCTTTCCCCTGGCAATGTTGATTAAATTTTGCTGCTCTTTTATTGACAGGTGTCTTACAGAAGACACAAAAATATTTAGACGTCTCCCAGGATCTTAACAGATAGTAAATGACCATCAATATGTGATCTTGGACCAGCCTGCAACATCAAAGCCCCTTCCAAACCTCTGAGCCAGGCTGCTGTCTAGAACCCACTCCAGCTTTTGATTGACACCCTTACCCAGTTCCATACTCTCTGCTCTTAAATTCTCCAGTAAAGTAAGAGACCCAGTCCCCTTTTCAGTGCCCCTTAACCCTAAGGACAGACACAGGGTCCTCCATCCCCAGTGGGTCTCTGAGGGTCTGGGGCTCTCTGGCCACAGCAAGGACATACATCAGAGAAAACTCTTTCCCAAATGGCTTCCTTCTTCCTTCCTTCTTCCTGGATGGACGTGATGGACGAATTTCTATTTATCTCCTCACGTCCAGCTGCAGTTTCAACCCCTACTTGGACAGCACCTAAGGATAGAGTTGCCAGATTGAGCACATCTGGCATCAAGTTAAGTTTTATTTTCTAGTAAACGATAAATACTTTGTTTTTGTTTTGGGGGGTTTTAAGATTTTTTATGCATACAAGAGCTGAGTTGTACACCAGAGTTAGGGGGAGGATTCAGATCGACTGAAACACGCTGCTAAGGGGGTCAGCAGGGAGACAGGAGGGGTCTGCTGTGCCCTGTGGTCAGCTACACGACTGGGGATTGAGCTAATGTCGCATTCACTCGCGATAGCTTGGTAAAGCTATGTCTGTGGCCCCTTGCACCACCAGGGAAACCCAATAAGGAATAATTTGTGATGTACATATGTCTCAAATACTTCTTTCCATGAGAAGAAAAAACGGGTGCTAAATCATTCTGGCCAGTTAGTTCATGGAACATATTTATGCTTAAAAAAATTGTTTATCTAAAATTCAAATTTAACTCAACATCTGGTTCTTTTCCTGACAACTCTACTTAGGGACCTTGAAAATAAGGACTTCAGCCTCGATTGCTGATGGTTGCCATCTCAGGTGAGAGAAGCGTGAAACCTTCTAGGGTTGATCCAGACCAATTTCATCATATCCTCCTCCCCTTGTCCTGTTCAGACACCTCCCTATTAGCAAGGGGAGAGTCTCTCCCCTTGTCCTTTTCAGACACCTCCCTATTAGCAAGTCATTCCTTGGTCTGACTTTGATGCTTCGTGTTATACTCTCAGTCTAAGTATATCCCACCCCAACCTTGGTGGACTGAGAAAATGAGTTCATGTCCTTTCATCAGATTTTTCTGCATTATAACAATATTAAATATAGAAGAGAAACAAGCACTCTTGTGTTCACTGGAGCACCATTCCAATAGGCAAACTATGGAACATAAAATATAGATGGTTGGATAAGGAAGATATGGTATAGGGACGTGGTGGAATACTACTCAGCTCTCAAAAAGATAAACTCTTGCCATTTGCAGCAACGTGGATAGAACAGAATGTCAAGTAAACCAGAGAGGTTGTGTCACCAAATAAGGGACGAGATAAAGCCAAGCTAATAATGAAGCCTAGAAAGCTGAGTATAGAACTGTGGCTACCAGAGCGAGAGGGATGGGGAGAGACAAAGTGGGAGGGAGTACAAGGACTATGGGGGTGGACCGTGGGTGCTTTGTGATGGGTGATGTTGGCCACGGATGTTGACTCAGTCATTAATGAACAAGAAAATTAATTCTTCCGAGCCAGGGTGCCCACCCGTCTCTGCCCGAGGCAGTACCAGTCCCGCTCATTCCTGACTCTGAGTCCCATTCCTTGCCCTGAAATTTGAACTGCAAAACAATGGAAATTACTTTGGAGGGCTATTTGGCAATATGTTTCAAAAGCCGTAAAACTGTGCATACGATTCATGTAGTTTGTGCTCAGAAAAGCAAAAAGCATAAGTATACAAAGTACAACAATCTTGACCCCAGTAATATTTACAACAAATAAAAAATATTAACTCCAGTGGTAGGAAATTGCTTAGGAAATCATAGCACATGTATATAACCAAGTTAGATCCTATATGAATGTTAAAATTGTGTTCTAGAAGTCTACTTATATGGTAAATGCTACAATATAGTTTAATAAAGGGGAAAATAGCGCCCTCCCTGGTGGTGCAACAGGGCTAAACACAGCTCTATGAAGCTCCACAGCCCCTGCAGCTGAGCTGAACCCCGCCAGGGAGTGACCCCCCAGGGCGCAGCAAACCTCTCAGACCCTCCCGCTGCTCCGCTCAGCAGTGGGTTTCAGTAGCTCTGCCTGTTCGGCTCCCTGCTCTGTCTCTGGGGAATCCTCTCACCCCCTGCCCCTCTGGCCTGTACTCCAGCTCAGTGTGCATAAATAAATAAACCTTTTTTCCAGTGGAAAATAAAGGTTAGAGAGCAATTTAGACAATATAATCCCAGCTTTAGTTTTTAAAAATATGTATATATACGCGCAGGAAAGGGAAACCAGGTACAATACTTCCCCAAGGACATTATTAACCCCCAGATGTTAATAGTTATTCTCATTTCTTGCAGCTGAAGGGGGTGGGGCTGGCTCTCCCCCGCGCCCCCTGCCTAAACCGCAGGCCTGGCAGCCCCACCCCACGCGAGGGAGAGCCCGACACCGGCCGCGCCCGCAGAAGGGCCTGCAAGACGCGCGGCTTTGAATGTGCCGGATCTCCGCGCCGAGCACGGCCGGCCTGGCTTGGACCGGAGAGAGAGGCCAAGCGCAGCCCCCTG